CTCAATAGATAAAATTATTTGGCCAAAAAAAATAATTTTTCCATAATAAGGCAAAATGCGCAATAAGGTCATTTTAATTAGAAATGATGAAGCAAGTTCGAAAATAAAATTAAAAATGTCAAAATATAATGCAGAAGTAATTATTCCATTTATATACTCCTCAGTTCATAATATAAATCATTTTAATTAATTTATTAGAATCAACAGATAAACCATTCTTGTTATATACTGTGGTAGTTACTTGTAATTTTGAAACAAAACCAAGAATCAAATTAATATAATCATCAATATTAATGCCCAATATGAAATTCAAAAGAAATTATCCTATTCACAAATAAAAACATGCATTCCTTAGTTCAATAAGCCTTGTTATATTTAGGAAACAAGGGAATAAAAATGTAACACGTATGCATAACTTGTAATAAATTTAATCTCCCCTCCTGTAGCTATTATAAATTTCAAATAACTAATTCATAAATAATAAATAACTAATTAAAATTATTTAAAAATAATAAATAGGTTAGAAATATAGTTTTGTTTTCAAATATGTCCTTATAATAAATAAAAAAATGAAAGAGAATATATGGAAAAAAATGTGATAAAAAAGTACGACAAGAATAAATGATTAAAAATAAAATTAAAAAGATGCATTAAATATTTAAACAAATTCTAAATCAAAACTTAGAAAACGAACCATATTCTTCTTTAAATTTGAAGTGAATAAATATGAGGGTGAGAGTATTTTGTTTTATGAGACTTTTGTGTGTTGTTATCTGAGGATTATCAATTGAATTTAATATGCTATTCCTTTTATCCTTAATATAAGATCTAACTCTTGAGTTAGCTTTAGTTCTAAATATAAGACATATTTCTTATATTTATTAATTTTTTCTAAATTACCCTTATGGATACTCCCTCAACCATAATCAAGTAGAAGAGGAAGATGGGGTATTAAGAAAGATGATTATAGTGTTTTAGAAAAAATGTGTTACTTTTCTTATAATTAACTAATTTATCTAATTTTTTTAATATAATTAAATTAGCTAAATAAATCTTATATTAAAAACGAGAGAAGTGCGTTGCTACTAATAATTGAAATGACCTTCCTATGGTGGGGTGAATGGACTCGCACGTGCCTTGAAAATGGGCGCGAGAACTATTTCGCCCACCGCGTCAATGAGAGTCACAAGGTGTGAATTTTATAATTCATCTCTAATTTCTATACGAAAACACAATATTATTAAAATTACAAGAATAAACATGGGAAATGGGAAATGGAAAATACCCTTTCCATGCCAAATTATTTTTTTGGCCAAAAAAATTATTTTACAATATAAGGAAGAATGGCAATTTATTAGTCCTTTTTTTTTTTTTTATTTGAACCCCTCTTGTTTGTATATGTATAAAAATTCTCCACCCAATTCACTTACTCCACGTCATAAAAACATGCTCATCAACTCTTATTTATAAGGTGTTTTCATAGTATATTCCACATATATTAAGAAAAATCTAAAACTGTATTAACTTTTTATCATGATATAACAATGTTTTAACTTTAGCCTTATTTAATATAACAATGTTTTAACTTTAGCTTTATTTAATATATACATATTTTAAAAAAATAATTACCTACACTATAATAAATGAAGAATAAAATAGTACATTTATCATAAAAATTGAATGAAGTGACTTATAAATAGAACTAAGAAAAATATTATTTCTCTACCTTATAAATAAGATCAAACAAATAATTCCAAATCAGAAAAGTATGATTCATGTCAAATTTTATCCTCCTTTAGTTCGATTTATATACCATCTTTAATGTATTTTACTGGAATTAGGACAAAACATTAAACTGTATCAATAATTTATTAACTCTATTCTTATTTAATATATATATACACATCTTTAAAATAAACAGTTTACAAAACAATAAGTTGTGGGTGAAAATTATATATTCATATAATAAATTTTATAAAATACTCATTCCGGTCCTATTTATAAGTCTTAAATTCAAAAAGAAATGTAGTCCATTTTATAAGTTTTAATTTGAGTTTATCTTAATATATTTTTTCAATGGTGTCCTTAATTATTTATCTTTCATCACATTTTTTCATATGTTCTTTTTCATCCTTTTTCTTATTTATTATAAGGGTATATTTAGAAATAAACATATATTTCTAATCTATTTATTATTTAAACTAATTTAAACTAATTATTTATTATTTGTGAATGAGTTATTGAAGCTTGTAATAAGTATCGGGTAGTAACTTATATTAAAGATCATATTTTTTTTAACCTCATGAAAAAAAAGAGAGTACTAAGTACAAAGGCTGATCCCTATGGCTATAAAGCCAAAAAGAAAACAGGCGGATAACGAGAGAAAATAAACTTTTATTAAAAAAGGGCAATGGGGCTTTTCTGTCTCGGGGTTTTGGAGAATGGGTAATGATTACAGGTCAATTTCACGCTTCGCTTCTATCATTATATGTCATGCTGCGTTTATCATGCTTCCTTCCTCCTTTAATATATCCTTTTTTCTTCAAAAAAAAAAAAACACTATAAGATTCTTTTTGACCCTGCCAAACTGTGAAACTAATATATTTTTAAGCATCATGCGAGAGCTTCATTTGGTTTGAAAATTGATGAATAATTATAAAATAATATCTCTTTGTGATCTTAAAGAAAAATGGAGGAGCCCGAGCACTTAATAATAATAAAAAAAATGTATATTTTAAGTGGATCTTGCCCTATCCCATAAGAAAAAAAATGGGACGAAAATTTATAAATTTTTTTTGTGTATAGGTATCATCTTATTAGAAGTAATTTTATTTGAAGCACTGTCAAGTATTAAATATAGACACTTTTTCTAACCAAAATTTAAATATTGATTCGTCATGTTGTGAGGAATTAGTATCTTTCGTTAGACATAATATTCTGGTTGATAAATTCTAAATTGATGGTCAAGAGACATGAGTTAGTGGGTGAAGTCATGGAACAAAGTGGTCCAATCCAATCAAAGGAAGGCATCTCACTCCATTTTGATGATTTGAGCCGCCCACTTCACCGAAGTCTCTTTCTTGAGGTCTCCTCTGAGTTCGGTTCCAAACTTGCATAAAATATATGTTTTAGAAAAATAATTTGACAATTAAATTAATACTACCTCCGGTCCTTAATATAAGACCCCATTTGACTTTTTGTTTGGTCCTAATTATAAGACCCCAATCCATTTTGTCTCTCATATTTATGCATTTTTTCCCAAGATAGTCTTTCTAACAATGATAGTTCTAGCCAATACACTTAATTAGCAAAGATATTTTAGGAATGACAACACTTATTTATTACAAATAACTAACTTAACTTACTTCCTTAATCTCCTCAAATAAGTCAACCGGGTCTTATAATTAGGACCGGAGGTAGTATTATTAGGAGATCTTTTTTTTTTTTTTTATAAAAAAAATGGAAATAAATGGCTATCAGTACCCTCAACTACAAACTTCGCCATTGTCATCCCAAAAAATGACATGGCAAGCCCACATTCAGCCAACTAAACTAACCTATCGAGGGCCCTTTTTAATTGCCAACGCCATAGGCCCATTACAGCGAACCAACCAAGGCCCAAGTTCAAACATTTTAATCAATGACAATTAAAATCTTCATTTTTTTGGGCCTTGAATGACAATTATAATCTTAAATTTAATTATTTTGTAGATAACTTCCTCACTTAATTACATTCGCATTCTTTCCAAATAAGAGAACTGTTCAATACTTCAATTGAAAGAAAAAAATCAGTAAGAGAAAAAAGGGTGTATATTTAAACTACGGTTTTCATAGTCGGAAAAAACAACTAGTGTGGAACCTAGAGATAGGCAGTCAAAATTATTATTTTTTAGTTTTCTTAATCTCTTTAAAATAATTAATTATATTTTATATTAAAAATCGAACTGAATATTTGACTATTGAAACCGGTAATCTAAAGGAAGACCCAGGCATGATTGCATCAAACTGGAGAGTGGAGACCCATTTCTCTTGTCAAGATTTTGATTAGGGCCTTGTCCTTATCGTCCTCATCCACTCTGCTTCGTACGCCTTCCACGTGGCTGAAATTGACTATTCTTCTCTGCGGAGAACACATTCTATGCTCGTTACAACAATGAGTACACGATGTTTATAATACTAACCTCATTCCATGAAAAATAAATAGATAAATACTACTCCTAATGTTTAATATAAGAATTTATTTAATTTTTATTTTAGTCAATTCATTTTATTTTTTATATTTATCTATTTTTTAAGATAATCTTTTAGTTCCAGTCAACATTTGATTAATAAAAATATTTTAGAAAAAAATATATTTATTACAAATAACTAATTTAATTAATTTTTTTAATATACTCAAATTAGTTAACTAACTCTTATATTAACTACTAGAGGTGGAGGTAGTAATAAACTACTTTGTCACTCATCTCAACTCGTGTAAATACCAACAAAACCTTGTATTATTTCATCCTTAAAATCGAAGGGCAACCATGAACATATTTAATTAAAATAATTATAATTGTGACTTAGAAATAAAATTATACATTTATATAATAAATTTAATAAATTGACATATATTCCTATGATCCTATTTATAGGGGAGAAAGAGAAGATTTTTTTATCCTATTTATAAATCATTTCATTAAATTTTTAATGTGAATATACTATTTTGTCCTTTATTTATTACATTGTAGGTAGTTATCTCCTTTGAAAAATATGTATATTAAATATGAATAAAATTAAAAAGTTATTATATTTTAATGAAGAGTTAATGCATTTTAAAATTTTTTTAATCTGTGTAAAATATGCTGGAAACACCTTATAAATAGAATAAAAAATAATAATATAAAATTATAGTAGCAACTCAATATCTCAACCGTGCGTTATCAACATATTTTTTTTAGGGGAAGGTCAATTATTGTCATAGAATGCCACATATTTAATTCGAACGACAAGAAAAAAAGAAGCAATCGAGCACAGTTTTTCATATTCTGTCACCAAGCCGCACTGTTTTGGGTAACATCGTGTTTTATTCATCTCAACTGAATTCCATGAATCACAAAATTCAACAATTCAAACCTCTTCATCCATTTATCATGTTGAATTCATCGTATGGGAATCAAGTCCTCTTTTTTTCTTCTCCAAGTTTCAATGATCACATTTCCAGTACTTTGTTAATACTTCAGGAGGTCACCGGAAGTCAATTTCGGAGGATCTGCTTTCTTCCCGCCCAGTCTTCTCTAGTTTCCAGCGCGAATTTTGACGGCGAAATTCCGATTCTCGGAAACCGCCTTCTGCAAATCCCCCAGACTAACGTCACTACAACCCACCACCATTCTCTGCATTCGAGTTTTGTCCTTCATAACCACGTTCGGAACGTCCCTCCATTTGCAGGTCCCATTGACAATCTCACCGACGATCATCTCCGCCGGCTCCGATGGATTGTGAATATACACAAAATCCCCCATCGCGTTCATCGCAATTGACGCCACACATTCACTCTCTCCTTTCAGCTTCTTCACCATCTCCTTCGGCATCTCGCCCATTTCCATCCACCAGAATTCTTTCCCCATTTCGCCCCTCACTTCCCACAGCTTCACGCTATTCAAATTCTCCATGTTCCCCACCAGTCCCGCCACGATCAGACGGTTGTGGAGAGTTCCGATCACGCAAGAGTACACATTCTGATTGGGTCGGAGATCGTACGGCCCGTCCCAGATCTCGGCGTTGGGATCGAAGGAGTATGTGATGCCGGAGCTTTTCTCCGTCACGTGCATCCTTTGCTCATCGACGGCGACAGACAGCCACGTACTGGCCGTAGAGTCTTTGAGGATCTCCGGCATGGAAGGACCCATGGTCCAAGTACGAGTCGCCGGGTCGTACACTTCCACCGCAAGGGGATCATCCTCGAAGTCGCAAGCACCGCCGGCGACGACGATGCAGCGGCCTACACGAGCAACAATTGGGTCAACCCGCCAGACGCGAGGAGCCTCGGTGTGGTGCCACGTGAGATGGAGGGGATCAAAGGAGAAGGCGAAAACGGTGGGAGAGAGAACATAGAACAGCGACGAGTGGGATGAGCGGAGGGCGGAGGAGGCGAGTTTGAGGGACGACTGATTGGGGCGGCGTATATCAAGCCAGAGGTGGGAACGAGGGTCATAGGCGTGCGTGGCAGTCAGGTACGGCGACCGGGAGCTGTGAGCATGGAGTATGAGCCAGGGCTTGACGGGGTTGAGGTGGGCGAGGGAAGAGGAAACGGCACGGTTCCAGGAGGTGGAGACGCGGGAGGCGGAGAGGAGATGGATGAGTGGGACGTGGGAGAGAATGGACTCTAATACGTCTCCATGAATGGAGGGCTTTGCTTCTGGTTCAGAAGTACTGCCCTGTTGAGCCATAGTGATCAGGCCAGTGGTGTTTTGAGGTGAAGGGGCAGAGCGAGGAAGGAGGGAAGTGGATGAGCTTATATGTAGAGTGGGGAATAGATGCCTTGCCCTATGCCTGTTATCCAATACGGAGGTCAAGAAGTTGGTAAACCCCTCAAAAAAAAAAAAAATCTAATAGAATAAAATAAAAGAACTTTGAGAGCTCCGACCTGGATTAATTTGTTTGTTCTCCAATTTCCACCCTGGGTATTGATATTATATGCGCACACGTATATATAAATATATATATATATAATTTATATATATCTTTTACCCACCAAAAAGGTACATTAATGTACATCATGAAAGTTGAGTTGGAGGAATCAATTGATTTAGTTTATTTTTGTTATAAATTGTTAAAAAGTGAAATTTTTAAGTATAATAAAATACAGGGTTAATGTGTCAATTTGTTTTTTGAATACTTCAGAATTATTTTTTTGATACAATTTTTTCTTGAAATATTGATTATTAAAATAGCAATGTTAGTTGTTAATTTTTTTTATAGTAGGAGAAAAAATTGTTATATACTACATTCGTTTCTAATTATAAGAGCTGGTTGATTAATTTGAAAAAATTAAGAAAAGAAGTCAAGTTAATTATTTGTCATAAAGAGGCGTTGTCTTTCCTAAAATATCCTTGTTAATTAAGTGTATTGGCTAGAACTATCATTATTAGAAAAATTATTTTGAAAAAAATGTATAAATATTAGAGATAAAGTGGGTTGGGGTCTTATATTTAGAAGTAAAATAAAAATCAAATGAAATCCATATTATTAAGGGGGTGTTTGGCAAAACCAAAACCATGGTTTCAGAATCACTTTTCCGCAAAACGAGGTAACTTCCTCCACATATTTACTTCGTAATCCGTAAAAGTACTTCTGAAACCATGGTTGGCTTCTATCCAAACACCCCCTAAGGATCAGAAGTAGTATATATAGAAATTACACAATTTTTTGCCATCTCAGTACACACACACATCGAAAGAATGAAAAATCTTATATTTAATTTAAGTTCAAATTTAAGCCCTCATTATTTTATATACTACTACCTCCGGTCCTTAATATAGACTCTGTTTGCCTTTTATTTTGGTCTTAAATATAAGATCAAATCCATTTGTCTATCATATTTATGCATTTTTTTCCAAGATAGTCCTTCTAATAATTGTAGTCCTAGCCATATAGTTGATTAGTAAGGATATTTAAGAAAGACGATACCTATTTATTACAAATAATTAACTTAACTTCTTTCTTTAATCTCTTCAAATTAGTTAATTGGGTCTATATATTAGGATCGGAGGTAGAGGAGTACTTTTAATCCTAATTAGAGACTTCGATTATAGATACTACTAAAATCTTATAATTAAAATTAAAAGAATAGTTATATTTATAATAAATAATTTTGAGATGTATTAATATTTAGATTAAGCGGATATCATATATATCGAATCCGTATTAAACATGGAGGATTAATCGAACACATCCATTGATTTTGCGGGAATCCCAACCAAACGCCGTTTAAATGCCAATCAAATAAAAGAGACGCTAAATGTGAAGATGACGAGTCATAATTTGGACTCTCACGATAATTCATAATTGTGTTCCTCTGCTTCGCATAGCTGGCTTATGCCCCACGTGGCTTGTTTATTTAAGACGATTCCTTCGCAACTAATTCACTCTAAACTTTGATTAATTTTAATTGCCTACCCCGAAATACCTTTTTTTGTGTGAAAAAAAGTAATAATTCTCACACTGTTTCTGGAAGCCTTTTGTAGTTTGCGCTTTTACTTATTAGAATAAACAATCATTGGCGTTGTTCTTTTATTTTTTAAATAATAGTTTTCCGTGTTTTTAATGGATAAACTTGACACAAAAAAGGAATAAATGAATAAATAAATAATAAAATAAATTGAAAAACAGACCGAGGAATGTAGTCACAGGGCGTCTAGAAAGTCGGCGTGTCCATTCCACATTTATGCCCCTTCAACGACTGCTAGCTTGCTATGTGATCGAAATAGCCACAATTACTTAATCTTAAACTATGTATATTTATTTAAAAAAAATCTCCATAAATTTTAGTTGGTCTGGATATGTAGATGTTCATATCAGACATGGTTGTGTGAATGAGTACGTAAGGATAATTATTGTGAGGTTCAACAAAAATAATTACTAAAAAATATTAATGACATGTTACTTTTGGTCCTCATTATAAGAGCTAGTGACTAATTTGAAAAAATTAAAAAACATAAGTAATTTAGTTGTTGTAATAAATATGTACTGTCTTTCTTAAATATCCTACTAATCAAATTATTGACTAGAACTGCTATTATTAGAGGGATTATCTTGGGAAAGAATGCATAAATATAAAAGACAAAGTGGATTGGGATCTTATAATCAGGATCAAAATAAAAATAAAAACAGGTCTTATATTAAAGACTGGAAATAGTATATTGTTATTTTCACAAATTTAAAGACTTATAGCAATTCTCTTTATATAAAATATAAGTTTTTGAAAGGACCGGGTGGGCCTCAATTTATTTTGGCGCAGATGATGCTTATCCAAAAATTATTTTTTTTTTAATAAATGAGCAACACAGAGACCACAAATTTTTTTGTCTGGATAAGTGTCGTGCCCACGTGTTTGAAAATATCATGTTCCCACAGGTTAACGTGACTTTAAATAAAGCCTCTTTGATCGGGTCCTTCGATTTTGGCCCAAACGACGGGTCAACTTTTTTTTTTTTTTCCTTCTTCAAACTTTCTCTTCTTTTTTCTCTGCTTGACAAAAATAAAATTTTGGCACTGTTATGTTCTCTTTTGATTCTTCCCCGTTCGCACCAACACCGTTCTTTTTTTTTTTTTTTTAAAAGTAGGATGCATACTAAAATCTCAGTGAGAAGAGTTCGATTGCGTCAGAACTGTTCATTTTCCAGTTTATTAAAAACAATTTAAAAAAGAAAAGAAAAAGCAAACTAAACCAGTAGTAATAACATATTAAAAAATATGTACTACTCTTCCGATCCTTAATATAGGACTTAATTATTGAGTTGATTTTGGTTATAAAATAAGACATATTTCTCATATTTATCTATTTTTCCTAAATTATCCCTATAGATACTCCTTCAACTATAATCAAGTAGAAGATGGAGGGATGATATTAAGAAAGATGATAATTTTAGGAAAAACATGTCATATTTTTTATAATTAACTAACTTACCTAACTTTCTAATCTAATCAAATTAGTTAAATAGGTTTTATATTAAGAACCGGAAGAGTAGTATATAAAATTTCTCCAGTGTTTTTTTTTTTTTTTGAGAGGGAAACCAGAATTTGAGAGTTAAGTGGCATGAACTAAGGGGGTATTTGAAAGCATCCATAATGCTTTTTAAAGCACTTTTTCGTAAAACGAGAAAAATTTCTTTACATATTTACTTCGTACACTGTAAAAACACTTTTAAAAAACTAGTTTTGATTCCATCCAAACATTCCTTAAGATTTTATTGGAAATTATGCTTGTACACGACTGTTTGATTGGGAATTTTGAGGTGGAGAAGATTAGAAGAAGCTACTTTTCTTCCAAAAATTTGGTAATGATAGGGGATGACTTTGAATGTGGTAGACTTGATGACTTTGAAGAGTAGAAATTGGACTTGAGCCTTCAGAATCTATTACAGATTTGGACCATACACTTCGAAGCAACTTATGTGGTTCTCAAGATTGTCGCCGCCTCTCTCTCTTCCCCCCCCCTCCTCCCTCCTTCTTCGGACACAGTGCTTGTTTTAAAGAAGAATTACATTCAAATCCCATATAAGAGAAATAATCACTACAAAGTCCTAAATAACAATCTGAGCAACATGTAATAATAAGTCCTACAGTAAGAATGACAACCTCTGGGACTTGTTTTTAATTACTTGGGATCTCATTGTAATTCTCCCTTGTTTTAATTAGTAGTGTGGTTTTGCACTGTATAAATTCTTTTTTTTTTTTTAAAAAAAAGTTATTAAGCTGATCCAAACAATTTGGAAAAAGAAATTCAAAAGCAATAACTGTATCATTCATACTAACTTGAGATAATAGATTGTTTATATTGTATTTAAAATTTAATTTTACAAGTAAAATGAAACAGGATGCAAGGTTAAAATTAATTTTAAAGATAGTATTTTTTTGGTGGTCTGGGTTTATTAAAACTTAAAAATTATAAGTAAACATGAACAATAAATAATAATTTTTTCATACTTTTTTTTTTTGAATAGTGTGCTACTGAATGAGAGCTTGATTGTTGATGCCGAAGACTCCAATAAGTGAGTATGGGGGAAAAAAATATATTGATATTTTTTTATTTTCAAATAAACGGTCTTATAGTTCTCTCTCTTCTAAAAACATTTCTCATATTCTCTTAGCCTATGTTTGGTATGTGGGATTGGAAGAGAATGGAGGATACAAAAAATTTAATGAGTTCAATTTAAAAAAAAAAATAAAGAAATGGGGTTTTATACAATTTTGATAAAGAAAGAAAAGATGCAAGATAAAAAGAGAAAACAAAATTAGTTAAAAACTTTTAGCCTCATTTCTTCAATTTTTCAAACAGAGTTCATTAAAATTTGTTCTCCCTCCATTTTCCTAACTAACGTATTTAATTTGAATTGTCTTCTTTAGAAAAAAGGTTTTAAGTGACACAGAAGAATTGTCGGCAGACCCTTAATGATATTTTTTTTGGATGACATGTGGATTCCATAATATGTAATAATAGTCCTTAATGTAAAAATTTATATATTAATTTCCTTAAATTACTCTTTTAAATTATCTGTATTGAAATTACATCTTTATATAAGTTTCCTTGATAGGTGCAATCGCTAGGGATAGTTTGGAAGAAAAAAAATGAAGATAAAATAAATTGAGATATTATATTTATAATTAAACCCAACCTCTATCAAGCTCTTTATTATGGAAATGCATTGACTGACTATCAAAGATCAGAAAATGGCATAGGTGATCTGTTAAATGATCTGCTTTTCATCCCAACAAGAAATTGAATAACCTAATC